TATTTGTTAATATGTAAAGGACCTAAAGCGAAAGTATGTTTTAAAATCCAAAATCTGTTCATCAATTTCACGCTGCTCGGCGGGGGGAACGCCGCGGCGGGCGCGTAATGAATTGGAAGTTGATCTGTCAGCACTATCCTTATCTTCAGCACAGATGTTTTTATTTTATTTGGCTTATAATTCATTACCAAATGTAGTATTTCATCTCGATATGCTCCGTCTTTGATATGATTTAAAACAAGTTCCTTGTCATTATAATTCGCTTCCGATAGCGAAGAAAAGTGACAGAGGTTATTGAAAACGAAAAAATTTCGATTGACAAATTAGTCGGTGTTCTCAGACACAGCAATTATAGGACTTGAACAGCGGAACTTTGTAACTGAACAAAGAAATTATGTCTGTTTAATGAATTAAAAAGAAAGTATTATCACATGAAAAACGAAGCAAGCAACTTAAACAACTTACATTGAACGAAATGTTTAATAAAGGTAAACAAATAAATATTAAGCTTTTCTTTTGCAATTTTGATACCCTTTAGATCATAAATTGTTCTTTATTTCATAAATTACCCGATTTCATATTTTTAATTTTAGAATTTCTTACATGCCATCTTACGAGATTTAAACTGATGATCTATAATCCGGAAAAATCGATAATCGGGAATCGCCGAAGTCCCTACGAGTCCGGATTAACGACTTTTGACTGTATTTTAGAATGCACGCTTTATTTTGTTTATTCATTCCGCATATGATTTTTTTTTTCCTGCTATACACCAATATGCTATAAGACATGCTAGTTGCATGGTGGCACAAACGGTATCCCACCTTCCACCGTAAAAAATAAAAGCGCAGAATTTTTTTCAAGCCTTAAAGGCACTTAAGTAAGTCCATCTGACTTATTCTAAGGCATTTTTTTAAAGATAAAAATATATTTTAAATATGCGTGTCGCAAAGGGTTAACACACAGAGACGAACAAATAACCAAAAATACAAAAAGAGTAATAAATAATGAAAAATACACATTTACAAATTAACTATTCCTAACATAAAATCATTAAACAGCAAATCTTTTAACAAAAATTAACACACAGAGATAAATAAATAAATGAAACGTCAATTTTTGAACATGCCTTTTTTTTCCGCATGCATATGGTCATGCTTCCCATCACCATCTCCTCAACACCATCACCTGTAAGCAATTCAATTAAATTTATGGTTGTTTCAGCTCATCTGCTGTTAGTGGTGAATGAATACGTATAATAGCATCCAAACCATTAACATTCATCCTCTTACTTACCTCAAACATGCTCAAATGATGGTACCCACTTCAAAATACAACACCAACACATGTGGAACCAAACACAGCAATTGAAAAGAATAGTAAGAATAAAAAACCCCAGTCTATATAAAAGGTTACTATTACAAAAAATAGCTAAAAATCTCATTTTATCTCAACATGTTTGGCAATATTTACAGAAATAAACCCTTTTTAATGACAAAAACTTAAAAAAAAAAAAAAAAAAAAAAAAAAAAACCACAATTCCCCCCCCCCCCCAGACTAGTTTTGGCAGCATCAACATTAGGATTACCGAAAAACCTATTTCATGCTGCAAGCTTCCAGATTTCATAAACAACTAATACCACTTGGCGATTTTTTTTTCAGATAGAAAATAAAGGGTACTGTACAGTAAAGATCAGTCACCTAGTCTAGTATAATCTGGTCAGTGGAATAAAGTGCAATATAGTTTAATTGATGTAACTGTTAATATTGCTTTAGTTTGGTATTTATATTATATTGCCATTGTTTTGAAGTAATTGGAAGTAATTTTACAATGGAGTAGCTTGAAAATATTTGTAATAACATACCCATACAATGAAATTTGTTTTTACAACCTTCCTTAGATGACCACATCTGAAAGTGATCAGCATTTCTTAGTATGTAAATAAATATTAGTATTGAACATTACCTTTTGTAGATGACCATATTCACAGAAGCTTGCAATCATCTGAAACCATGCTTGTTTTCAGGGAATTTTTTTAAAATATAATAATAAAATTTGTAACAATTATTAGCAATGATACAGCATATAATCAGGAAATCTGCTTTGTTAAAACTATTTAAAAAATTTTAGATTTGAAAAATTAGAGAATGTTCTACAATATTCTTGCCAGTTTATTTTAGTAACATATTGATTTCTTATGCAATATTGTAAATATAATATATTTTGGTTACATAATTATTACATTATAATTTATAGGAAAGACATCTTTGTGAATATACTGAAGTTGTACAAGTCACTTTAAAATATGATTTAGCATTACTGACAAGTGCAGGATATTTGCTTTCCAGATGAAAGGTTACGAATATCAAGCTATTGATTATGTTTAAACAAATTATTACTTATGATTTATTTCATATTTTAATAACATTGATTCTGAAAAGAGAATAATTTTATATAAAGATTTTATATTTTTGGACAGTTTTTCTCATTTAATTATTTTCCATTTTATGTAATATTTTATGCAAACATTGGTTGCAAAAAGAATTGCAGCCTATGGTTATTTACCAGGATATTACCAGTTTATCTGGCTAATTTTAAAAAGAGGTGTTTGTGATGTAATATTCCAACACTCCTTAATAATATAATTATCATTTCAGTTGCCTAATTTTCAAGGTAATAAGTGCTGATTACTGCATCCCGGTAAACGTATATTTACAGATACCCCTTGGCAAAAAATGGCGATTTTTTGTGGTACATGGATACTGAGTTTGTGCAAGTCTTTGACTTGTTATTTTGACTTTGTATAGTGCCAATTTTAGCATCAAAATTCCCCGCTACACAAAGACAAAATAATAAATCAAAGAATTGCACAAACTCAGTATCCATGTATACATTCACCTATTTTCACTTAAAAAAATATCGCAGAATTGCACAAACTAGGCATTGCCCACTCCTTTGACTTTATCCATGCACATGTCGACATGTTTCCACTTAAAACAAAGTAGAGAATTTCACAAACGTGGCATTGTGTAATCCCTTTGTCTATGAACACATCAATATATTTTCACTTAAAAAGTCAAAGGAGCACCCAATTCTAGGTAAAAGTATATTTACGGAACATTCAACTACTCTTACTATAAATGAAACAACAACTTTGTGATAATACAAGGGGTACCCTTCAGTCTACTTTAACCCTGCATCCCCTTTAAAATCATTGCTTTTATAAACATTTTTTGCATACCTGATCAAAAATCATTTTATTTTGCTTTAAGCTTCATAATTTATATATAAGAAAAAGGTAAATATAGTGGTACCTCAATATACGAGTGTTTTGAGATATGAGCCGCCGAACGAGCGATATTTGGTTTTGAGATGAGAGCAAGATTTGAGATACGAGAAATTGCACACTATACTGCTGCACACGACCGCAACATGTGCGCGAATGTTTGTGTCGTGTGCAGCGTCTAACAGTTTCTCCTACCTCAGACTAGACTTGTTCCTCTGGGAAAATCCATGGGTCTGGATGTGGATGAGAGAGATGTGAACGAACTTGTCGAGGAACAGTCTCAGGAGCTGACAACTGAGGAGTTGCATGATCTATATTCGCAGCAGCATATGGTGGTTCAACGAAAAATTAGTTTTGAAAAGGAGCCAGAGGTATAGGAGATTATCCCTACAAAAGACATAAAGGAGATCTTGGGAATGTGGGAGAAAGTTGTAGAGTTCGTGGATAAAAATCACTCCGAAAAAGTTGCTACTGGTGGCGCATCGGAGATGTTCAATGAAACTTGCCTAACTCATTTCTGCAATATCCTGAAAGGGAGGAAGAAACAAAACCTCCTTGGACAGTTTTTTTTTAAATGATCTGCAGGTGAAAAGGAGCAAAGCGGGACGAAATATGTATTTATTATTTATAAATAAATGTTTCTTGTAAATGCATTTTTCTTATTCAAAAATACTTAACAAAACAATACTGGTGGTGTTTTGGGAGCTGTAACGGATTAATGGCATTTCAGTTAATTTCAGTGGGGAAAATTGCTTTGAGATACGAGCAATTGGACATACAAGCAAGATTATGGAACGAATTAAACTCGTATGTCGGGGTACCACTGTACAGTGCAATGTCTTTAATCCAGACGTCCATAATTTGGAATGATCTATAATCTGGACCTCAAAGCTACAATTTTTCTGTGCATGAGTTAACGCATGCACAATTGGATCCGGCTTATTATTTTTTGCAGACTGTAGGAGCAATTTTATAGAAAGTAACCTTGAACTTTTGATTATGTCAAAAAGAGTTTCCGATTTTGGAGCTGCCAAAGGATCTACAAAGTGAAAGCATGTTTCGATGTCAATGAAACAAAAAGTGGAATTGTTGCAAAAAATGGATAAAGGCATGAAGAAAATGACAGAGAGGTTAGTGAAAATGAAAAACTTTTGATTGACAAATTAGTCGGTATTCTCGGACAGCACTTACAGGACTTGAACAGCGGAACTTTGTAACTAAACAAGAAATTATGTCTGTTTATAGAATTAAAGAAAAAGTATTAGCATATAAAACGAAGCAACTTAAACAACTTACATTGAAAGAAATGTTTAATAAAGTAAACAAATAAATATTAAGCTTTTTTTTTTTTTTTGTAAATTTTGATACCCTTTAGATCATAATTGCTCTTTATTTCATGAATTACGGTTTCATATTTTTAATTTTATAATTTCTGCATGCCATCTTACCAGATTTAAATTGACGATCTATAATCCAGAAAAACCCCTAATCCCGAATCACCAAAGTCCCGATGAGTCCGAATTAAAGACTTTGTACTGTAATTATAAAACTTTTATGTGTATACAAATGGATATCTGCTTTTTATCTGTTTCAGAGCTGGAATCAGTTAAGTGTTGTTCTCTGTTGTGAATACTTTAAATGACTGTTTAGTGATATTAGTGAGAGAGATTTGATGCGACTAAAATTTTTATTTATTATTATTTTGGTTTTCAGTCAATGATCTCGGTGGAACAAGGAGTGGAGAGGGCAAGAGCTCCGCAGCAGCTGATAATGTTGTACGAGAAATAAAGTCTAAAGGAGGAAAAGCAGTTCCAGACTACAGTAAGAAATTCATATTTATATTTTATAGCTGAATTGCAGTATTTCAGTGTTTTATATATTTTTTGATGTTAGAAATATCTTCAGCAAAGACTTTACAAAAGTTTTAGAGTGTTGCTTTTCTTTTAGTATTATCATCCAATGCCATGGCATGTTATTGTTGAAAACATTTCATCGCCTTATTGGTTTAACTGGTGATAATCAAACTCATAAATGCTAATAACCAATGAAATTTACAGACAGTAGTATTTAATTTTATTAAAAAAAAGCTATCTGAATTTACTATGCTATCCCACACTACTGTCCTATGAATACCTTGGTATGCATTTGTTGTCCTCGTATTCCACTAGGAGCACTAACTTAAATTCCCCTAGAAGCACTACCTGTAGTTTGAAGAACAAGTGACGTAGACTCTGGCAGTGATAGCATGATATGATTGATTTGTGAATATAGTGAAAAGGAAGGGAATGAATTAATCCCTGCAAAAAGGAAGGGGGCTGATAAAAAAGAAAAAATGAGGCAAAATGCCACCTGGATTATTCAAGAGAACAATTATTGTTATGTTCTTAATGTAATGGTGTCCTTCAGAAATGAAATTATTTGTATAATTTTCTCTCAGGTTTCATTAATAAAAAAGAGGTGAGTAAATTTAGTAATTATAATGAATCTGTCATTTGAGCTATAAGTATTTGTATATAAAGTATTTGTAGTGATCATATGTTAATGATACAGAGTAAATAAAAATGTAAGGCAGTGATTGGTTTCTTGGTTCAGGATTAACTGAAATGGGCTAAGAGAATCATGAATTTCATTAAAATATTTTCCTACAAAAATAGTGCAGGTCACTGAAGTCTTTAGATGTTTTCTCATTATAAAAATTAATATGAATTCTCAGGTTTGATTATTTGAAATGTTCCTATGTAAGATTTAATAAAAAGGTTTTTTCAGAAAATAATTATAAAATGGTAAAAAGTAAATCAGTAGTATACCAGCTATGTATAATTAATCATACTTTCTGTTATTGCTTTACACTGGTGTCTTTACTTAGATTAAATGAACAAAAGCAGGATTTTTTTTTTTTTTAAAAAGGAGAAAAATGAATAGTATAAAGCCAAATGAAAAAGATAGTTATGATAATATAAGTATATCTGCTGTTACAGTGATATTATATCTACATTAGTACTTGAAGAGTTAATTACATTAATGTATTAGTTGTCAAGTATCAAAAAATGGAAAATTGTGATAGTCATTAAAAATATGTATCAAATTGTCAGCAAGAGGAATAAATTTTAATCCACAATGGAGTATTATATTGCTTTGTCTAATATAGCTGTGATTTAAATGTGAATTAGGCACATAAAAGAATGTTCATTTGACTTTTTTAAATTTCTTTTTAAGATTCTGTTGAAGAGGGAGAAAAAATTGTGAAAACAGCTATTGACAGTTTTGGACGGATTGGTAAGCATTGCTTCAATATATCTGAGGTATTTTTGTAGAAGATCTTAATTTAAAAATTTCATACATAAATTAAAGCTTAATAAGTCTAAGTATTCTGCTTGAATTAATAGTAAAATTTATAAAGCTGATGTTGTATTCTCCTGTTTCTATCAAGTATTAAACACATAAGAAATAAAATTAACTCATGAATTTGTCTTCAGATAATGCTAAATTGCAGAAAAAGACTTATTTTTGTAACTTCAGAATCATGTATTGTGCTGAGTGAGATCTGTCTTTTGATAGCCTTGACTCTTAGAGTTCTAAAATGCACAAACAAGGTTAGGATCCTAGAGTTTTGTATATTCTTCCATGCTGGAGATAGTTGAGGTCAAAGGCTTTTGGCCACTGATTTCTTTTTCTGTCAAACTTGCTGCTCCTGCTTTATATGGAGTCAGTGCATAGATTGTGATACAGCAGTTTCATCTGATTGCAGGAATGTGTAAAAAAACAGCTTATGCTTGTGTTAAAAACTGGGATAATTTGTTTTTATATAGTTTGAATTTTTTTTATTAATGTATGATTTTTTATACTGTTTCGGATGAATTTTTGTGGACGACTGCTTAGTGCATTAAAATTAGGAGTATATAATATTAATTCGTATTGGATCGTAATTATTTAAACCAAAATATAACTGGATGATTGAAGAAACTGTTAGGGAGAAAAAGAAACTGCATTAAAAAAATTGCTGGGACAATTAAAAAGAAACTTACCTAGAGAGGAAAAAAGTGCTGTCATATCTAGAACTATGAAAAACTTTTACTATATAATGCTGGTATCTTTTTAATGTACAGTAAAACCCCGCTTAACCCTGTTTCGTTTAGCGCTGTTTCGGTTTAGCGCTCTTTTATTTCAACCCGGGGATTCTCCGAAATTGTGCGCAGCGCTAGGTTTCCAAATAACATATCCGAAACAGTGTAGTTGTGTTTCTTGCTTTGTGGACGCATTTTTATCATTTGAAACATTTGTTGACATTATTGTAAGTTTAAATTTGTATAATACTATAATGATTAATACAGTGACAAATATTATGATCTTTAGTTTTTATCATGGGTGATAATAATAAAAAAACAAGAAAAGAAAGCAACCAGAAAAAACTGGAAACTCAAATGCAAGTGATTAGAAGATTAGATTCTGGTGAACGTCAATCTCAAATTAGTGCTGCATTGAATTTGGCAACTTCAACAATAAGGACAATTCTTAAGAATAAAGAAAAAATACTGTCATCGGCAACTGCAACTAGAATTACCCGTTCTAGAAATAACATTATAGAGGAAATGGGAAAACGACTGTCTATATGGATTGATGATGAAATTGAACGTAATATGCCATTAAGCCAATCTATTATAATGCCTTCTTGACAAAAAGGCAGAAAATTGGAAACCCAGAATAGACTCAATGATCTGACTGAGAATTTTATTTGTTTTTAAAAGTACATGCGTTTATATTGTTTTTATTTTTGTAAGAAATAAATTTTTGATTTTATTTTTATTAAAAAAAACATTATTAAATTTAATGCCTAACCATTTTTTATCCGTCTTTCCCTAACCCCATTATTTACATGTTAAGATAGCCTCGCTTAGCGCTGTTTCGCATTACGCTCTACTTCGATGGAACGTATCCCCCGCATTAAGCAGGGTCTTACTGTATTAAATATTTAGAAAGGGAACTGTATACTTTTAATTGAAATGCTGATTGTATTTTTTTAATATTTTATTAATATTTCATTAATATTTTATTAATGAAATTTGATTTGTGGCTGTCTTTGAAGCATCTTGTTTTCACATAATTATCTGTGAAACTGAAACTTTCACAATTATTTGCCATTTTATTCTTCATATTCATTTTTATTCTGTTATAGTAGTTCAACTATTGAGCCACATACTATGTACCGAGAAACTTCAAAAGATGTGAAAAAATAAGCATAAAATGTTAAGATAGACATGTATGGACTTTATTCTAATATTGAAGAATATTTTTTAAGAAGTATTTAGTGTTGTTTGATATATGATTAGTTGTTTCTGAAATAAAATAACTTTTCAGTTTATCAAGGTCCATTTGCCTGGGTTTCTCTATGCAAAAAAAAAAAAAAAAAAAAAAAAAAAAAAAAAAAAAAAAAAAAAAAAAAATCTTTATAGAAAATTATTTTGGGAAAAATTCTTTACAGTTTTTTTTTTTTTTTTTGTCTTCATGCGTAAATAAGTATATTAGGGATGTGTATTTTTACTGGTACTATTTATGAGCATTTTAATATATCAAAAATTAATATTTTATAAAATGAAGTGCACCTCTATTTGTTAAATGTTTTTTATTACGTCTAAATTGTACAATAAACATTTTATTCCAATATTATTTCTTTAAGAAAATCTATGATTTGTATAGTATACAGTACTGTCTTATAAACAAATTTTTATATAAACAAGTAAAAGGAAATAATAAAGCAACAAAACCTATCAACAGAATATTGAAAAGTATATTCTGTATGTATGTTTTGCAGCAGGTTTGTTTTGAAGCTGTAAATGATGTGATGGAGTATTGCTAAGATGGTATGTTGTAAGACGTTATGTGAAGTAAGAAGATTTATATTGTTAAGATTATTTAATTTGGCATAGATTCATATAATTACTAAACACTTGTTCTGTCAAATTTGTGGTCAGATATCTTTTAATTGCTCTGCAAGTTCATGTCTATTCTGAGATGGTTATAGCCAATGAGATATGGCAGCCCTGAGAAGAGTTTAGAGATTCAGCAAAGGCTCCCAATAAACAGTTATTATATGTGAATGGCGATTATCTTTCTAAAATATGGCTTTGAACAGACATGATAACATTGGCAATACAGCAAATCTCAGGATTTTATCTACACATCTGAACCATAAAAATCTGTGAAGGACCTGCATGACAATGTATCATAATAAGTGCTTTCACAAATGGTTATGACGAGCATTATAAATGTATACCATTGCACAATTATATGGAGTAAGCTTCTGTAATATGTTATAAGGACTTGGATAATATATTTAATGATTGCATACATTATAGAGAAGTCTGTATAATATATGCAGTCATTTGTGCCAAGCAGAACCACACTTTATCATTGGACATGATATGTTTCTAGTTTGATACATATCTAATATCTAAACACTGAAGTGCCTTAAAATAAGTGATAGATGTTTCGACAGACACCAATAGAAGATGGCTAGTCTTTTTTTTTTTAACGGTGCTTTGTAACATTGTTGTATAGATGATGTGTGCTAGTGATATGTAACAAAACTATTATTTTTGGCAATTCTTAATTATTACACAATCCTCCAAAAGTTGTCATCATGACTGTTATGAGCATCCAGTTGGAACCACTTTTTTGAGTGTTACATTATACAGCAACTGTTAAGTTGATTGTTTCATCATATGTGGTTAACTGGATTTCTTTGGCATTTTTCCTTCCTTTGTAAGAAATTTAATGATGAACACATTTTCGGATTTTTCATTTTTATTATAAAGCGTACTTGCTGCATTTAAGTAACTGTTTAGTTTATTATGAATGCTCACAATTGGCTAATTTAAAATTATGATGAACTTCATACTTAGCTTATGGACACAAGAATGGGAAGATGTGAAAAATTTCCCACTCAGATAGGTAATTTATGAATTAAGAATGCCCTTCATAATTGCAATATTGAATTTTTTTTACTTGATGCATTTTGTGTTGATTTACTATAAATATCGGTTCACGTTTCAAATTGTTGCCACTAAATATTAGAGCCCTGCATTATATTTAAAGAAATTAAATAATGAAGAATGTGCATGAATATATGTATGTTTCTCACATTTAAAAAAAATCACGGTACATAAAGACATAAAATCTATGTATATAAAGAAGAATGAATGTTTGTGTGTTTGTTAACGATTAACTCAGTCACTACTATAGTTATCGTCAGAAAACTTTTGACAATTCTTTTCTGTGTCCTAGAAAAAGTCTACATCCACTCCCCCCCCCAAAAAATAGCTAAAATCAGAGATATAAATTAAAAATGCTGGAAATGCTAATTTTTGCTCTCAGTTTTTTCAAGTGACAACAGTCTGGCATGCTGGAGATAAAAATCTGCATTATTTTAAGAAGTATTGCCACTGCTCGCTTTCAAATTGTAGAATTTGTTAATAAAAAATTTCGAAGTTTTACAATGAAATAAAAATAGCATTGCCAAACATTAAATACATTACTCCCAATTCCTAAAAATTCATGGAAAGCCATTTCGACTATTCTCAACTTCATACGACTTTAATCAACTGAGATATTAATTAAAAACTTTAAAAGCACTAACTTTTGCACTCATTTTTCCGAGTGGCAACAGTCTTGCATGTTGGAGATAAAAATGCTTCATTTCAAAAAATGTTGCTACTGTTCGCTTCCAAATCATAGAGTTTGTTAATAAAAAATTTGTAAGTTTTACAATATGTGTATATAAAAAAGAATGCGTGTTTGTGTCTTTGTTCGCATTATTGATTTTTGATCAATTATGATAAATTTTTTGACACATTTAATTGACTAAAATTGAATATAGGTGAAATATTGGATGGAACTTCAGCTTTTACAACCATTTGATTAGAAAGACAAAAATCATTAAAAACTGCATGCCATTGTTGCTGATATAATGAGAGAGAATTAGTTTATTTTTCTATTGAAAATTTTTATGCGAGTTCCAAATTGCATCAGCCTGAAAAATGTATGAGTATGAATCGTAATTTTTGCATCATTATTAGAGAAGGGTTACAATGGTATGGTTCTCTCTGTTGTTAGATACATTATTCTCAATCTAACTTAACTGGCATCGGCATTAATTCCACTAATTTTGAATAAAGTAGTCCTCCACTCGAATATGGGCATCTAGAAACCCAAATTTGGAATTTCTTTTATTATCTATTTCATATTTTGTCAAACATCAAAGAATTTTTGATTAACAAACTCGATGATTTCAAATGAGCAATGGCAACACTAAGGGGGAAAAAAAATTATCTCCAGCAAACGAGACTGTGTATCGGAAATTCTAAAAATGTGCTCTTTTAAATATTTTATGATATTACTATTCAATTGAATTCTATGGTTTAAGTGCAAAGAACATGATATTCAATAAGTAAATGTAACACACAAAACATTAAAAAATGCTCCTTTGACCATAATATAAAATCTGAAAGCTTTCAGATTTCGTTTGTTTGTGTGTGTTTAATATTTATCCATCTGTTTCCGTTGCAGATATCCTGATCAATAATGCTGGAGTTCTACGAGATAAATCCTTTGCAAAAATGTCTACTGAAGACTGGGGTTAGAAAAATGTTTTAACCATATATTCATATAAACTATTATAATCATGAAGTTTTAATGCTTTTATTTGTATTTTTAATTTACATGACCTTTACAAGTGGTGGCATTTTCTTTTCTTTCATGTTGATGTTGTACTGATGTTACAAGTTTTAAATTTGAATATTTACCTTTATAGGAATATATTCTGATTGAATTTTTTTAAATTCTGATTAAATTTTTTAAAATTGTCTGTTAATAATGTATATTACATGTTTTATCCTGTGTATATTTCTTGTCTGTTTTTTAATCTTTTAGATTATTTACTTTAAATAAAAACTTAGTTTGCTTTGTGTCTATTCATTAAACAATTATTTAAAATTAATAAAATATGTATCAGTTTAAGTGTTAAATATATATAAAAGGAAATTGTCACAAATGATATTCCATGGTTTGACAGCCTAGTTTTTGGAATAATTTTAAATACTTTTATTCTAGATATTATTCATAGAGTTCATTTGCGAGGTTCTTTTCTTATAACCAAAGCTGCCTGGCCATATTTTAGGGAACAGGGCTATGGAAGGTATGATTACTTGCTCTGAATTTGTTTAAGTCTCTGTTAAACATATAATTGATGTTTGTGTTTTTACTAATATATGTTCACATTTAGAAGTTTCTTGTTTAGGATTTTAAAATTATCTTTGATTACTTTATTTTAATTACTTAAATGTTTTTAATTTATTTTTTGTAGAATAATAATGACAGCATCTGGTGCTGGTATCTATGGGAATTTTGGACAAGCAAATTATTCTGCTGGTATGTTGATTTTCTCAACTTCACATTTGTAAATGCAAAATTTTTCAGTGCTTTATAAACTTTCTCCTTGCTATATAAACACATGCAGATGTTTGGCAAAAAGATCATTGCATCCATCATGTCTCACTATCTTCTAAAGAGAACTATTTGTTATATATATATACATATATGTAATAATTTATTTACTAAACAATATTGATTAAATGATTATATTATCTCCTAAGTTTAATTATAGTAGGATTATCTTAAAGAGTGAATCCATACTAGCAAGTTATATTTTGAAAGATGTTTTGAAGTAACTTGAAATTAAAATGTTAAAAATGTTTTAATGGGGACTGGAATTAAATCATGAATAACAAAATTTCATTTGTAAAAGGAATAATTGGTGACCTTAAAATTAAAAAGTCTAGATTTTATGTTCTTCTCCTAAATTCATCTGTTCTCCCAAATTCGAGATCTTTCCATGTTACATAACAATGTAAAATTAACCAGTCATAGCTTAGAGTATTTTCTGCATATACTCGGTATAAATATCATTTGCAAGTAATTATGTCTTCTTCCTTTCTCTAACTTCTGCTCTGCCAACACCATGCTGTTTTGCCTTGCTAAAATGCCTACATCATACCTTTAAAAACCAGTGTAGATAAAAATTATTGTATTTAATTATGATTGGTAAAGGCTTTGTCTACCAAAAGTGAGCTGATGTGAATTATCATGGAATAAATTTGTGTTTAGAAATGGCCACATTTGGAAGTTACTGGTTTATGCATCCTTCTAACTAACTGCACATAAAAATATTACATATATATATATAATATAGAAGATGACACAGATAGATATTGAACCATATATGGCTGATTCACGATGAAGAACAAACTTGGCAGCTGAGTCAGATTTAAGTATTCATTTTTATTTTAATTAGCATTTGCAGACACAAATAGCTTGGCACACTAATGGTGTCTGTTTCAAAACATTTGTTTTTTTTTCATAGCTTTTTTTTTGGGAGGGGGGAAGCAGTATGATGGGACTTACTAGGCTGAAGAGCAGAAGTGAAGTGTGTCTTAATCCAAGATGGAGGTTTAGTTCAAAAGGAGAAAGAAAAGTTTAGGTTTGTAAATTTTGAAGAAAGGTTTAAGTTTGCATGTTTTGAATTAGCTACATCATTATCACATAATGATGATAATGTAGCTAATTTGGAACTTAAAGTCAAAATTTGCAAACCAAAACCTTTTATTTCTCAAATAGGCTTTCCATCTTTGATGAAGTCACATTTCGATTTTTGCTTCGATTCTGCCAACATGCAGAATGCTTTTGGTAGCTATCTTCAAAATTATATTAAAAAAAAAAATTGTGTAGTTCTTCAAGAAAATGAACATTATGGAATAACAAGGATGATATAGCTGATGTGGAATATAAAGCCAAAATCTGCAAACCAAAAACCTTCCCAAATAGGCTTTCCATTTTGGATTGAGTCACATTTTGCTTTTTGATTCTGCCAGTGTGCTTTTTAGTAGCTGTCTTCAAAATTATATCTGAGAAATTTGTGTAGTTCTTCAAGAACATGCCAAATATTTTATGGCTGCAAATGTCAACTAAATAAAGAGGAATATTTAAATTTGCCATGACTGCCAGCCTATACATTCTGCCATGATTGCCAAGTCAGTTCTTTAGTATGGATCAACATCTACATCAGTGATTCTCAACCTTTCTAAAGCAGTCATTCCCCTAACGAGAGAAAGATATGCCAATAAATTGGTCATGTAAGCAACACCAGTCTTAAATTGTAACAATTTGTCTTTCAGAGTTACATCTTTCTCTTTGAGGAGCTAAAGTATAGAGTCAAAGATTCCAGAACCTGTTGAGGCAGGTACATCTGGAGAGCCAGCGAACCTCAGTGTATAAAAGCAAGCGATTGAATTCTTCATTGTTGTCCTTACACAACTGCCCGAATATTCGATCACTCAGAGAATTACTGTGAATTTTGTTCACAACAGAGATGACATATTGTAATGACTGATGCAAACAGTTGCTGATGTTTTTTGCAACTAAATGCTGTCTATGGATCATGCAGTGAATACAGTCAAAAGTCATTAATTCGGACACCCATAATCCGGAATGATCTATAATCCGGACCTCAAAGCTAAAAACTTTCTGCGCACGCGCCACGTTGGCACATGCGCACATGCGTTTTACGTGTGCGCTAAGACCTGACGACTGGCATATGCGTGGGCCAAAGTGCAGAATACAGTTTTCGCGTGCGCGTTTTATGTATAATGGACGGTGTTGAAGCTAAAATTATCTAATTATCTATTTCAGTTAATGTTAATGATTGTGTTGTTCCTTAATCTTCGAATTGGATCGCGCTTATTATTTTTTGCAGACTGTAAGAAGCAATTTTATAAAAGTAAACTTGAACTTTCGATTATGTCAAAATAGAATTTCCGATGCTGGAACTTCCAAAGGATCTACAAAATGAAAGTATGTTTCGATGTCCAACAAACAAAAAGTGGAATTGCTGCAAAAAAATGGATAAAGACTTGAAGAGTATGTGACAGAGAGGTTAGTGAAAACGAAAAAAAATTTCGATTGACAAGTTAGTCGGTATTCTCGGCACAGCAATTAACGGGACTTGAACAGCGGAACTTTGTAACTGAACAAGAAATTATGTCTGTTTATAGAATTAAAGAGAAAGTATTATCACATAAAAACGAAGCAACTTAAAACAACTTACATTGAAAGAAATGTTTAATAAAGTAAATAAATATTAAGCCTTTTTTTTTTTTTTTTTTTTTTTTTTTTTTTGTAAATTTTGATACCCTTTAGATCATAATTGTTCTTTATTTCATAAAAATTACGGTTTCAATTTTTAATTTTAGAATTTCTGCATGCCATCTTACGAAATTTAAACTGATGATCTATAATCCGGAAAAATCGATAATCTGGAATCGCCGAAGTCCCGATGAGTCCGGATTAACGACTTTTGACTGTAGTTAGAATAATTTTTCCTTTCTCCACAAACCAGATATATGCTGATAGGAAAGCCTCAGTAGCACTTGGCAAGGTTAATTCATTAACCTGAAGAGAAAATTCAGTGCATATCAAAAGTTTGTATTAGGAAGTTTCAACTTCTTCAGCTATCTCATCAATTAGTCGTCATACTGTATCATTGCTTAATGGGACATGTTTTATAACACTGGATGTAGCTGGATGGTGTCAAATCATTACTAAAACTTACTTGACAGCCAGCAGTATCAACTCTTTGCTGACGGTATGAGCTTTCCTAGATTTAGCAGTTAATCTTGACATACTATTAACAGGCTATCAAATCTTTGTCACATAACCATTGTCACATTTTTTTGATGCAGTTGCTAATAAGCTGAGACACATGGCACCTTCAGAAAGTTGCCCCCCTCTGTTTATGAAAAATGACAAATCTTTGTTTTGTTGGTCAGGATGAATTTTTTTGCAGATGTTCCTGCAAAGGAGATGGTTTTATTGCTTCATTAGATAATACTTTATTACAAAGCAAACACATGGGTAGTTGCAAATTTGATGGCGGAAGAACAAATTTGAATTTCAATTATGTGGGACTGTAGTGACGACACTTCTTATTATTAACCGACATCATTGGCAGTAGCAAAATATGTTTCGGGAAAGATAACTATTTCTCAAAATTGATAATTCAGAATCATTATAAAGAGCTAATAAGCACAGTTACCTAGCCAACTGCCCATATAAACAATAAAAGTAAATTGAAACAACTGAGAGAAAAATAAAACAGAAATAAAGCGAACAGAAAGCAACCAGGGATCAAATCAAACATTCATATTGAAAGGAAGCTCAATGCATGTGCTTTGATTAATGCATGTGGGAACAGCTGATACATTAGCTGTGCTGGTTGGGATTGGAGAAGAACCGTAGTGTCGAGTTCTTTAAGGTCATCCCATCTACAATACAAATTCTTCTCACCATTCTTAGAATTGTGTGAGGGGAGCCGTCACGTTAAGTTCATTTTATTGCTGATATAAATGGTGTAAACTGGATAATAGATTTAATAAATTTTTTTAGGAGTTTTAAAATTAAGTTTGAATGCCTAAATAAGCTCATCGCTCCTACCACTCAAAACATGCCCACTCCCCCTACTATCCAAGTTCACTGCTCCCGTTGAAAACCAGTGGTCTTTCTACATCATTACATATATATGTTGAAAGTTTTCTTCAGAATTATTCTTTCAGATACTGATCTGTGTACTGCGGTTGAAATCAACAGTTTTAGCATATCATATGGAGTAAATTTTCAAGCATAATATCACTTTTATGATTCTGTTTTAGACATATCATGGATAATACATGAATGGATCTTACTGCTTTAAAAATGGATTCGAACTTTGATTTCTGGAAAATCCTGAGAAAAGAGCAAATTCAGAATAAACTGTTGATGGCATAATAAAGCAGTAAGATCCATCCATGTATTCTTCTGATGATTCTTTTAACTTCTGATGAGTTTCATAATTTAATTAAAAGTAGTAATGCATTCGAAGTTAACAATATCGAACACTTATCAATAAAGACATAACATGTTATCAATGTGTAATTCTAAATTTAGTTTTTGAATTAAAAATCTGATCTTCATCATAGTTAAAATTGTTTATTCAACTAAAGTTCCTTTGTAGTTGGTCATCTTTGTTTTGGAAGTTAAAGGTCTTAAAAAATTCTGTATAAAAAAGTGTTATTTTATGCTTTTGTTCCACACGGGCATACGCACATACACACCCCTAGTCTCCCCCAAAATTTATCCTCATCTGTATAAAACCTGAGAATTATGAATGGACAAGCTGTCAGGCCTCTCAAGAATACTCACTGTTTCTGACAAAAAAAGAGTAGAAATTTTAACTGCTTGTCCATTGTTCTAACACAGAAATTGAAAATTTGAGATAGCAAGGGTTTCTAAAAAAAGGCTGTAAAACAGCTATGGTAAATACATTAATTTGATGCTGAACATTCAGAGGAATGTTTTTTTTTTTTTTTTTTTTTCAGCACATTGAGAGATTCAATGATTCAAGGTATTATTTCGGATATCAAGTTTCGACCGTAGTAACTTTTAAGGGAGAGTAGTAAATAAAATACATTCATTTCAGTTTTATACTAAATAGTATAAATTTAAATAAATTTTTTACTTGTATAAGCTGTTTAATTTTATCATTTATAATTTAAATATATTTGTATATAAAGTGGAAAAGATATAAATTTTGATCAACCTAGAAATTTTTGTGACTGATGTGTAGTTAAAACTTATGGCAAATGTCCAAAGAGGAAAGTGACATGCAATAACTTGCTTATTTCCAAGCATAGTCTGAAGTCTTCGAGTTATTTAATTGCCATTGTGTTAATATGAAGCAATTTTATCATGCCAAATGTTTCTATGCTTGGAAAAGTCTAGCAATTATTTATAAATTAAGATTTCAAGAAACACTTATTTGGGCAAAGAGAAGCTGTTTCACTGTAATGGAGAGATTTCTCAAATGTGTCTTTTCAAACATTTGCCTCTAGCTCTAGTATCAAGTTTGTAAAATAATACAGTAGAATCTCGAATCACAAATACCTTCCATCACAAACAAATTGGTTCATAAACTTAATTAATTTGTTCTGTTATCAGGACTGGATTTAGATATTGCCAAAAGCTGATGTTCTAGCTAAATATTTATGATATGGCTTAGTCAAAGAAAATTGAAGTAAAAAAAAGCATAACTTCAGAAAAGCAAAGGAAAAATAGCATTTGGACACTTTTGCCACTACATAAATTCAATTAAATAAGAATCTTAATTGGTTATAGTCAGTGCCGCATTGATGTTTATTTCTCCATCTTGCATTGCCAGTAACCTTTCAATAGTTTGCTTGTGACAAGTAGTATTGGATCAAATAAATTGTATTTGTGGTTAATGCAGAAATGTTTAAATCTGGCTTCTCTTAATATAATAAAATTAAATAAATAATATAATAAAAAATATAATAAAATTAAAAAAAACTGAGTATGTTGTTATATAGTGAATAAATAAGGCATCTGAAATGAAGTTTATATCATGTTTGTTATTTCAATCTGTTTTGATTCTTTCCAGCTAAATTAGGAGTTCTGGGTTTAAGTAACACTTTGGCTATTGAAGGAAAGAAATATAACATTCATTGCAATACTATTGTTCCTATTGCAGCATCTAGACTAACACAAGATATCTTACCACCAGGTAAGAAATAAACATGTTTAATATAAATATATTTTTTAATTTATCAAGCGAAGTAGTAATTATAATTAATTTAAAAAAAAACAATTTTGGTCTAGAAAACATCTTGCGCAATATGCTGCAAAATAAGTAAAATATAAAAATTGTAGTAAGCTCGCCTAAAAGTTACCAAGAGCTGCTGCTCCAAAAGGTTCAACACGTTTTAACAACACTTTGGAGCAGCAGCTCTTGGTAACTTTTAGCCGAGCTTACTACAATTTTTATATATTTTTAATTAATATAAAATATCTTTTTTATTGTTATATTTATTGTTTATATCATTATCAGATTTTTGTATAATCTGTTATCATAAAATTCATTAAAGTCAAAAATAAAACAAACTTAAGTTTAGAACAAGAAAAATCTTAAGTAAAGAAAGAAAACTTAAGTTTAAGGAAGAATTGCATGGTGTATATGTATATGGATATATGTATATGTGTATACGTAATATATAAGAAATATGATAGCTACTTTAAAAATAATTGGTGACCTCAAAGTTCACGTTCTATATTTGGTTCTCTCCCTCTAAATTCATCTGTTTCCCCAAATTTGAGATCCTTCCATCATTATATAACAATCTAAAATTAACAAATCATAGCTTCTCTTTACAATTACATCAGACTTAATATAAATACTCTTGGCACAGTAAACTGTGTCATTATTTCATTCCTTTCCCTAAGTGCTGCTTTGCTTCTCAACTGCATACATCACTTCTTTTAAAAAAACAGATTTGGATATGTGTGAGAATGAAGATTGGTGATTTGTCGAAATTCAGTTCTGTTGCCTTCATTTGTATGCCTTAACCACAAGCCATGATGGATATCAAAAGCTGTAAAAACTTCCAGTGTTTTCTTTTACACATTAGACATTACATATATATATATATATATAGCTACATATAGCTATATATGTATTGCAGGCTAGCCCCCTCTTTACTTTTAATTGCTGGCTCAGATTAATAACTTAGAAATAATTAAATGAAGCAACATGCTTTGTAAAACATGTAAGGTTAATGCTGTGCCTTCTAGATCTGTTAAACAACAATCACTTTGAAAGACTTACAATTGTATCTACCAAATAACCTGTTAAAGAATGTTTTCTCACTTGTAGACAACGTACTGCTATTCTTGGGCATTTTCATATACATAATTTTGATAACATTGAAATTAGTGTGCTAGAAATTGTACCTGATACTAAATTAAGACTGTTTAAGGAATCCATTTACATACTGCAAAAAAGGTCACTTTATGCTTATGGACTTGATGCCAATCTAAATAATACGACCAATAAACATTCAGAAGTTTCTATATATGGACAATTTAGATTTTTTACCAATATTACTCCTAGAGGAACAAGAGGAGGTAATTCTAACAACGAAAAATTTTTTTCAAAAATTTTTTTCTGAAATTAATTATTAAAAATCTAAATTCATTCCTTGGAAATAAAGTGCAAAAAATGCCATTAAACTTCTTCATACGTTTAAGAATGTTACTTTATGGAATCTTATTAAAATACTTAATGAACAATCTCAATGTTTTCAAATAGTAAAAGATCTGATAATAGACTTTCGCAAGTTTAAATTAAAGAATAGTAATTTTTTTCACAAAAGTTTTTGTACAATACAATTCCAGCACCCTTCTTACAATCAGTTAAAAATTCCAAGCATTTTTAAAAAATGTCTACACTTGCTACCTGACCAACAACTTCAAATCAAGCCCTGTTTTAAATTTGAAAAGACCTTAGGTCAACTAGGCCCACCAGCGGCCGAGCGGTAAAGTCACTGAACACTGGTAGTTTGGTCCGAGGTTCGAATCCTACGAACAGGCTGGCTGCATGGGTGTTTTCATGGTTTTCCCCATGTGTAACGTGTATACGAGCCAGTTTCCCTTACAAAGTCCTCCACGAAGGCATCCCTCCTCTTAGGCAGATAGCCCTAGTGTGCTTTGCTATAATTAAATACACCAAACACCACCTTAGGTCAACTAATTATCAACCTCCACAATATAATAGAAGATAGCATGTGTCATTGCCAACTTCCAGTTTACCAGTTTATAATAAATATGTAGATCCGTATCACCAGCATATTGTTACAGGAGATCTCAATATCATTGAAGATAAACATTTACTTTGCTGCCAACGGTCAGTCACTTTACATTGGCTATTACCAGTGATGTTGTTTCCCCCCTTGCTTACGTCATATCGCCAGTTGGAGGGCAATGGAAATGCTCGGGGGTTTGCCTTTTTTTGAGTTTCCTCATTGCCAAGGAAGACGGCTCTGTTCCAGGTCTGTTTTTAATAATTTTTTTCTCTGTAAGATTTTTTCTAGGTCTTGGCAAGACCCATGCTTCAATTCGTCTTTTATATTATCTTTTCCATTTTGATTTAAATATAATTTATGATACTTTTACAAAGTATTAATTCTTTAAGCTCGCAGGTCCACCCATAAGATCTTGTATATTTTGACTAATATAGCATATCGCTACTTATATTTTCTCTGTACATCGGAATTGCCTTTCCATTATTTATTTTTATCTTTTTTACACCTTAATGGGTCAAAATAAGCGGACACATTGGGAAATTGGAACAGAGAATTGAGACTAAAGTTTTTTACATACTTTATTTAATTCATTAAAAAATTGTCGTGCACAGTTCCAATTGTCTGTTTCAGCAAAACGCGGGATGGAGTTGGTTTAGTTTGAAATTCATTTTAAAAAATTTCCCTTGACGAGTCAAAAGGAACTTCGAATTGGGCTAATTAACCATTTACCGCTTCTTAATTTTTATTTTTTCATTTTATTTTTTATTTTTACCTCAATCAATTGATTAGTATTTTACTGTGTTTTAAATTTATTTAATTCGTTTAGCATATAGCTTACTATTTTTATTTTTGTCTCGATCAATTGATTAGTTTTTTACTGTGTTTTAAATCTACTTAATTCGTTTAGCATATAGCTTACTATTTTTATTAATCTTACTTGTAAATATTCAAATGTTGTATATTTCTCCTTTTTCACACATTTCATAGCAAGTAAATATGCTTATGTTGAAGTTTTCATGGAGCCACAGTTTTTGGTAACTTTTTAGCGTGCACACTAAAATTTATCTTCTAATTTCCTTAATTTTGCAGCACCATTTGCAAAATTTTTGACCACATAGGTCTTTTTTTTGTTTGTTGTTACTACTTAACTTTTAAGTTATATTTGCATTCCACTCTGAGAGGCAGAAAAGAGTATTAACTATCATCCCTTGTAATTTGTAAAAGTAATTTAGAATCACCCTGTGTATACATATGCATATAAATGATATATATATACTGCATTCTCCCTAAACTTAAGTTTGTTTCTTAAACTTCAATGAATTTTATGATAATATAAATATATATATTAATATATATACATACATGCATATATTAATATATACCGTAATTTCCGGAAGAAAGGCCGCATCAGCGTAAACGGCGCACTCGAGAAAAATGGCGGGGAAAAAATTAAAATTACACAGAAAAGCCGCATCAGCATAAACGCAGCAATAGATTAAATTGCGCGTGACATCGTCGTGGGCCGTATAGATGCAAAAACTCAACCTAAGTCCTGATATATGACATACCATCTCCCTTCGGAATAGTCTTTCATTTAAAAATAATCATCGGCTTTAGCTTGTCAATGTCGTTTGCGGCACAAGCTAACACACATGTAAATGACGTTCTTTCATGCCCCGTCATAAACATAGATACAGTTTTTGCACCAGTTTCATCAACAGTTCTGTTTGCAGGAGAGTCAAAAGCTAACGGCGTTCATCCATATTTATTATCTGCGACTGAAGAAGTTTTTTTTTTGTCAATAATAACTGTCACATATTTTAGAAAAGATGACTTTTTATCCTGCCAGTCCATTGGTAATTGTTGCCTGACTGTTGTTCTAGTACGCACAGAAATATTTTTTCTTTTCATAAATCTGCTACACCTCCTTTGAAATCATTTATGTTAATTCGTTTTGCTATAAATTTTGCTTGTAAGCGAATTTTTACAGTCGAAATTGCTATTCCCTTTCCTTGTTGCTCCTTAATCCAGTTTGCAAGGTCATCCTCTAGATTTGGCCACCTTACAGTACCACTTCTTTTGGCTCGTTTCTGTTGTGGCATATTTTTAAGAAGTTCTTTTTCAGTTCTCCAACGTCGAATACATCTGTCGTCCACTTCAAACTCTCGAGCTGCTGCTCGATTTCCAAGTTGTTCAGCACGTGAAATTACATTAAGCTTAAAACCAGCAGTATAGCTTCTGTGCCGTTTAGGGACATTTTCAAAAATTTTCCTCTCCCTTCTTACTTAAAAACTATCCAACAAATACTTGTACCCAAACTGATGGGATCTGTATCTGGCAGAATGCCAAGAAAAATCCATTCATGCTGAAGGGGAAATACGTCAGAGTTCGTTATGGCGAGGCAGGTGGAGTCGTGTCGGCAGAATGTTATTGTTCTGGGATCTCATTTAGGGTGAATAAGGCATGCAAGTCTGTTCAAGGGAAAGAATGTAAACAAAATAGCGTTCGCAAAAAGCAACTGAGTGGTCTTTTGTGTGGGAACAGCACCAGTCTATGCACAATGACAAGGCCATCCAAACTATGTACAATGACCCTCATAGGAAATATTTTACTTTTAGTGCACCTAAACGCCGCACCCACTGAAAATTTAAGTTTTAAACACGTATACGCCGCGGCGTTTCTTCCGGAAATTACGGTATATTTATGTGTGTTTTCATGTATAGGGAGAGAAAGAGAGAGAAAATGTGTTCATTTTCTGTGCATGTAATTTAAATATATTAACCCTGTTATAAAATTATTAATGGAAAGTAATTTAATGTTTATTATATGTAACTTCATATTATGCATCAAACTAGAGTATCCCCAAAATAGTAAAATATGTGCATGAAACTAGTAAATATGCATATTAGAAAATATTGCATCTAGAGTGAATAGGAAATATATAGATGATTTGATTTAATGATGATATCTATATAAACAGTTAAAAAATTTTTATCATTAAACAGTCAAAAAATCTTTGTTGTTATTATGAATAATTTATGTTGAACAGTGAATTGTGACAGGAAATTGTATTTTTAGCAAGCATAGCACTTTTTTTCCTATGATTATGTTTGTAAGAAACCTATTCATGAGCAGAGCTTAATCTGCCATTTGCAACTAACTGGCAACTTTTTCCAATAATTGTAGATTTTTAGTCATGTTATTATGTAACATATAATCATCTGTAAACTGCATGTAAGTCAATATGGCTATGCATAAGTACACATTTCGAATTATGTTAATTTTCATAATCAGTTTTTTTTAGAATTTTGCTGATTCCTAATGTTACTATAATGGAAATTTAAATCTAAATTTGAATTAGCATATACAAAAAATTTATTACAAAAAAGCGAACAATCTTGTTCTTAGTGTATTTTATTAATTTTGGAGCTACACAAAGATCTTTTTGAAGTATCTTTATTAAGCACATACATTTAAAATATAATTTTGCAAATGCAAATTTTAGAAATCCTATTTCTGTCACTTGTTGCAATGCTTTATTGTTGTCATCTTATAAAATGGATTTCTTTTTTGCTAAATAACATAAAAATTAACAAATTGAAAAATATGTTAGCTATTTGCAATTTTTTGATGTTAGCATATTTTTTTGCCAACCATATAGTTTTAAATGTACATGTATTAATAAGTACTAACTATATTTCTTGTGGAATAGAATGTTCAGTTGAATGTGTTTTCAAAAGTTATCATAAATACTATAATATTTATGATAACTTTTGAAATAATCCCCCTCTCTGCACTTGCTTTAATTTAAAAAATTCTAAAAAAGGAATTTAAGAGATTCTCAGAAATTTATTAAAATTTTTCATTTTAATTGTATAGAGGAAAGGAATTTCAAGCTATGTGCTTCATTTACTAAATTTTATATACTCAAAATAAATACAGTCAAAAGTCGTTAATTCGGACACCCATAATCCGGACCTCAAAGCTAAAAACTTTCTGCGCATGCGCCGCGTTGACGCATGCGCATAGGCGTTTAAGCGTGTGCGTAAGACCTTTACGACTGCGCATTTGCGTGTGCACAAGCGCAGAATACGTTTTCGCTGCACGTTTAATGTATAACGGATGGTATAAGCTAAAATTATCTAATTGTCTATTTCAGTTAATGTTGATGATTGTGTTGTCCCTTAATCTTCGAATTGGATCCGGCTTATTATTTTTTGCAGACTGTAAGAGCAATTTTATAAAAAAAAGCTTGAACTTTTGATTATGTCAAATAGAATTTCCGATGCTGGAGCTCCCAAAGGATCTACGAAAACGAAAGTATGTTTCGATGTCCATCAAACAAAAAGTGGAATTGCTCCAAAAAATGGATAAAGGCATATCCTTTGTTTATCTAACCGTTCCGAAATCTGTTTATCAATTTCACGCTGCTCTGCGCGGGGCGGGGGGGGGGGGGGGAACGTGGCAGGGCGCAATGAACTGGAAGTTGATCTGTCAACACTATCATTATCTTCAGGGCAGATGTTTTTATTTTATTCCACTTATAATTCCTTATTAAATGTAGTATTTCATCTCGATGTACTCCGTCTTTGATATGATTTAAATCAAATTTATGATTTAAATCAAATTCCTCGTCATTATAAATATCACGAATACAAATCAAATAGTTTTCTGGTTGCAATTTTCTAATTTCGGCTATGCATAATGTATGCTTTACGCATGTGCGCGTTGAAAGAAATGTTTAATAAAGTAAACAAATAAATATTAAGCTTTTTTTTTGTAAATTTTGATACCCTTTAGATCACAATTGCTCATTATTTTATAAATTACGGTTTCATATTTTTAATTTTATAATTTCTGCATGCCATCTTACCAGATTTAAACTGATGATCGATAATCCAGAATCACCGAAGTCCCGATGAGTCCGGATTAAAGACTTTTGACTGTATTGGTGTATTTTTAAAGTTAATTCTCTATTTTGTTTTTCATTATACATGGATTTCAAATTTGACTTTAATTTAAAAAATTTAATATTAAGTAAAAATTACTTTTTCTTATTATTTTTATTTAAAAGGTTTCAGAGATTCAAGTAAATATTATAAAGTTTTAAAAAATTTTATTACATCTATTATAAAATGTCATGCATAAATTTTATATAAAAAATGTTATTTTCATTTTTCATTCTAATTTTAAGTTATGGGGGGACTGAAAATCTTTTATAGTTGCTAAAGTTTTAAGTATGTATTGTCAAATGAATTTATCTCATGATATATATATATTTAACCCCTCATTAATAGTACTACCATTATGGCCTTAATAAAAACTTTTAAATATTATATAACTGTATTTTCTAATTAAATTGGATGTAAATACAGTATTCAGCTTTCATTTCCAAGCAAGGAAATATTTACACGAAGGGTGTTATCCCATATCGTACTCAGCATACTGAAATTAAATGTTTTTAATTAGCATGCAAACAATAGCTAATAAACAGCTTTTAAAAACAAATAGAAATGCTTTCTTCTAGTGTTGTAGAAGTGTAAACCAGCACCATCTAAAAATTTTTTGCAAAGCTAGCTTTCTCAAGAAAATGAATGTACATTTTGTAATACTCAATAGCCTATCTAGCTGACCAATAATACAGCTATAAAAGATTTTGCCTTTTATTTTTAGTTTCAATCTTAGGCATTTTTTGATAAAATATTCAAAATTTTGCTGATTGTATAAGAGTACTTTAAATTTTTATGATTAAAAATGTGCTAACTTGTGCTATGTGTAAATTTGGAACTGGACATGATATGTATGTCTCTAAATATATATTTCTTCTCTTCTCCTTTTTAGATATATTTGATCAACTGAAACCGTCTCTTGTAAGTCCTGTAGTTGCCTGGCTGTGCCATGAAAGCTGTCCAGAAAATGGTGGAGTTTTTGAAGCAGCTGGTGGATGGGTTGGAAAATGTAAGAACGCATCAAGGATTTTTTTTTTTTTTTAGATAAATATTTTCTATTTATATAGTAATATTTAAGTTCTAAATAATTTAAATTTTTTATTTTTTATAAAGGTATTTTGTTGTTTGTATTTTGTAGTTGTTTTTGTAGTGATTATTTTTAAATAAAATGACATTGTAAGTTTTAGGTAAAAAATTCCACAAATGTAGAAAAAAGTTTACCATCTTGATAAAACTTGATTCTTGCCATAAGAAAATAAAGGTGAAGAAGTGATTAAAACTTGATAGCTATCAATCTGTCAACCAAGCGAACATAGGTCCTGATGTCTTATATATCAATATTATGCCTCTAATGGAATAGTAGGTTTGGTTTGGTTAATTGGTTTATGACAGTGCACATGAGAACTATCTGTGTAAGGAGAAGGATGCCTCTGTGGAGGACATTTTAAGGGAAATTTGCTCGTATTTATATTACATGTGGGGAAAACCACTATGCGGCCAGCTCATTTATCTGAATTGAACTCAGGTTATTACTAGTGTTCAGCCGCTTTTAATGCTTGGCCAGTGGTTGGCTTAATTGCATAGTAGGAGGTTATTTAATTTGAAGTTCATGTATAGCATATTTACATGTAAAAGCAGATTCAGTTGAGTAGGTGCATTAGACTGAAGAGGGATTTGTTTAAATTTTAAGAATTAAAATTATACAGTCAAAAGTCGTTAATCCGTACTCGTCGAGACTTCGGCGATTCCGAATTATCGATTTTTCCGTATTATAGATCATCAGTTTAAATCTGGTAAGATGGCATGCAGAAATTATAAAATTAAAAATATGAAACCGTAATTTAATTATTTATGAAATAAAAAAAGAACAATTATGATCTAAAGGGTATCAAAATTTACAAAAAGAAAAAGCTTAATATTTATTTGTTTACTTTATTAAACATTTCTTTCAATGTAAGTTGTTTAAGTTGCTTCGTTTCATGTGATAATACTTTCTCTTTAATTCTATTAAACAGACATAATTTCTTGTTTAGTTACAAAGTTCCGCTGTTCATGTCCTATAATTGCTGTGTCGAAAATACCGACTAATTTGCCAATCGAAATTTTTTCGTTTTCAATAACCTATGTGTCACTTTCCTCACTATCTGAAGCGAATTATAATGATGAGGAACTTGATTTAAATCATAAGACGTAGTACATCAAGATGAAATACTACATTTAGTAAGAAATTATAAGCCAAATAAAATAAAAACATCTGCCCTGAAGATAAGGATAGTGTTGACAGATCAACTTCCAATTCATTGCACGCTGAGCGTTTCCCTCCCCCCGCAGAGCAGCGTGAAATTGATAAACATAATTCGGAATGATTAGATAATCAAAGGATATGCCTTTATGCATTTTTTTGCAGCAATTCCACTGAATTAGAAAATTTTAGCTTAGCTAATACTGTCTGTTATACATTAAACTCGCATGCGTAAACGTATTATGCGCACATGCATATTCGCAGCCATAAAGGTGAAATGCATGCGCAGAAAGTTTGTAGCTTTGAGGTCCGGATTATGGGTGTCCAAATTAACGACTTTTGACTGTATTTGCTTTAAGAGGCATGCAGGGTGGAAGGGAGACTTAGCTCAAAAGATTAAAACTTAACTGAAGACTTTTAAGATTCCTACCTTCCCCTGAGGATGCTATTATTGTATTGTAATTAGCAATTAATCGTACACACCTTCAGATGCCACAAATTTAAAAAATGATTTGAAATTCAAAAGCTTGAATAATTCTGGTTTTTTTTTTTTTTTTTTTTTTTTTTTAGAAAGATATCTACCAGAAGCTTTACTAAAAAAAAAAAAAAAAAAAGGGACATTTATCGCAATTTTGGTGTACCATTCTTAATTTTTTGGAACAAATTTAGTGTCTCATGTTCAGTGTTTATTTATGATAACTTTTGAAATAATCCCCCTCTCTGCATTTGCTTTAATTTAAGAAATTTTAAAAAAGGAATTTAAGAGATTCTCAGAAATTTATTAAAATTTTTCATTTTAATTGTATAGAGGAAAGGAATTTCAAGCTATGTGCTTCATTTACTAAATTTTATATACTCAAAATAAATATTGGTGTATTTTTAAAGTTAATTCTCTATTTTGTTTTTCATTACACATGGATTTCAAATTTGACTTTAATTTAAAAACATTTAATATTAAGTAAAAATTATTTTTTTATTATTATTTTTATTTAAATTTTTATTTCGGATATTCAAGTAAATTTTATATTTATCCTCTGGTTAAAATTTTGGTTATTATAAATATTAATTTAAATACTCTTGGATAAAGGAACCATTTTAAATTTTTATTGTGTAAATACATCTTGTGCCACCAGTGTTATGTAAGTGATGTATGAAAATCATTAATTTAGGAGTGGCATACATCAGAAAGATTAATTATCAGCATGTCACCATTTCTTAAGGCAGATAATGAAATTGAAAGAAATACATGTAGGGCAATTGCAAATTAAAATTTATATTTTTTTCTCTTATCAGATCAGTGGCAGAGGTCTTCGGGCAAAGCATTTATACCACCAGACAAACTTACTGTAGAAGCAGGTGATTATATAATTTTTTTTAAATACATTCTAAAAAGTTTAATTGTAATATTTTTCTTTAATTTTTGTTCTCTTTTAACAGTTCGAGACAACTGGGATGCTATTGCTGATATGTCAAATTCCTCAACTCCTGCATCCCTGCAAGGTATAAATTTCTTAAATGGATATGTAAATTCAAAAAAAAGATTTTAAAATTATTTGAAAATTTTTTAGTAAATATATGTAAATTAATGTCATTCATCAAAGATTTTATATTCAGTTGTATAAATGTAAATTTCACTAGAAGAATTCTGAATTGAAATTAAATATTTTAATTATCTTTTCTTTATGTAATTTTTTTTAGAACAAACTGTGGCCTTGGTGGAATCTCTCAGTGGAAGTCTTCCAAAAGCAAAAATACCATCAAGGAAATCTGCTGCTGCTGTTGATGATGTCTTTTCTTATGATCAAGATAAAGCAATTCTATATGCTTTAGCAGGTTAATTTTTTCTTATGTTATTTTTTATTTTTAAATTGAAAAGATGTATAATTGAATTCTGCATAAAACTCTTCAGAACTGAAAATGAAAATTATTGCATAATTTCTCTGATTATGAATATAAAATATGTAACTGCAATCCTTTTTTAAGAAAGACTCGCATCCCTTTTGTTTTTTGAGAAAGGGCATCTATATATTACAAAAATTATCTTGTTTTGTTAATTTTTCCTATATCATTTAGAACACTTGAAAGGTATCATTATTAAGAAAGCCTTATTTTTGATGTTTATAGTTGCTTACTGAGTGTCTTCTCTTTATTTGTTACAGTTGGAAGTTAAACCCTCTCATTTACTAATTTAAGTATTATGATAGCAGCAAACCCTGTACTAGACTTTTTTTTTTTCTGTATAGTGTCAGTAAATGATATTAATACTACATTGCTAACAGACTGTAAGATGATATACCTTGGAGTTTATTTTTGTACTATTCTGCTTATATTTTAAGTATGCATTAAAATAACTGAGGTGTTTTTTAAGTCTTGCAACTTGTGACATCTGGTTAAACATAAACTTTCGTGTTTTTAATTCAGTTTTTGCTTCATGTATTTATATATTTTTTTTCTGATATCATTTAATTTTGTCCTCCCTCTGATGTTAAATCTTCTATTTATAGTGGGTATGTCTACAAAGGAACCGACTGCACTTAACTTTCTGTATGAAAATGCTGATGACTTTAGAGTATTGCCTACATTTGGAACAATAGCTGCAATGGATTCTTTGTTCAATTCATCTACTTTCCGAGAACAAATGGAGAAGCTGAATGCTGATCCCACAAAAGTAAGTAAATATTTTATTCTGTTTTGGTGCAGAGCATAAAAAATATTGTATAAGGAAAATGAGCATTAAAGTATGCTACAGTACAATGTCTGTAATCCGGACTCGTCGGGACTTTGACGATTTCATATTAGGGGTTTTTCCAGATTATAGATCATCAATTCAAATCTGGTAAGATGGCTTGCAGAAATTATACAATTAAAATATGAAACCATAATTTATGAAATAAAGAGCAATTATGATCTAAAGGGTATCAAAATTTACAAAAAAACAAAAGGCTTAATATTTATTTTTTTACTTTATTAAACATTTCTTTTAATGTAAGTTGTTTAAGTTGCTTCATTTTTTTGTGCTAATACTTTCTCTTTAATTCTATAAACAGACATAATTTCTTGTTCAGTTACAAAGTTCCACTGTTCAAGTCCTGTGTCAAGAATACTGACTAACTTGCCAATTGAAATTTTTTTGTTTTCAATAACCTCTCTGTCACTTTCTTCACTATGAGAAGCGGTATTTTCTGGATTTAAAACCATACTACAGATTTCGCCATCCATTAATTGATTGATGATTGGGGCATTGTCGTCACAATGAAAAACTTCAGTTATATCATCGTCATTTATTACCGCATCTCCATATTTCTTTACAAAATCCAATAACTGGAAAATTTCACTTTAGTTTGCGATGTCCGAAAACCTTCAAATCCGCGGCTATCATCTTCAATGTCCTCATCATGAAATATGGTAGCTGGCCATAAATTATGCCAAGCATTTTTTAATGTATCTGGAGACACACGATCTTGCGATCTCCTCCCACGATCTTGCGATGCTCCACACAGCAGATTTTATGCTAAAAAGTTTCAAAAAGTCTTGAATAGTCTTGCCATTGTTCAAGAAATTTAACATAGATTTTAAAAAATGCTACTTTATATTTGCATTTCAACACGTGCACTATTCCCATATCCATAGGCTGAATGATAGATGTACAATTTGTAGGGAAGAATAATATGGATACATTATCTTTCACTAAAACTTTAAGTGAAGTATGCACCGAACAGTTGTCAACAATCAGGACTATTTTTGAGTCATCAGGTAAACCAACTGAATTCAAATGTCGCCGAGCCTCGGGTATAAAATGATTTTCAAACCAATCATTCATCAACGCTTGTGTCATCCATGCTCTTTTATTTGCACGGGAGAAATCGTTACTTCTTTAAATGCTTGAGGTCATGCATGTTTTCTGTTTACAAAAAGTTTGCACTTGTGCATTCCTGTAGCATTTGTGCACACTAAAATTGTTAGACTCGATTTAGAATCTTTGACACCAGTTGGTGCCTTTTCTGTAGAGGTTTCAAAGGTACCTATTGCCAGAAAAGACCAGTTTCATCAGTGTTATAAATTTGTTCCGGAGATAATTGTTCACTAGTACTGAGTTCAATGAATTCATCTGCAAATTGTTCAGCAGCTTCAGTATCAGCTGAAGCTTTTTCACCTGAAAATTTTAATTGTCTTATACCATGACAATTTTTAAATTTGGTTAACCAACCTGTCGAATATGTGCACCAGTGTTTAAGTTCATTTCTTCCTGAAATATTTGGTTTGGGCCATTAGATTGACCCATCAAGGCACGCCCTTGCTCTGATGCTGTTTGGACTCATTCAATCATCACTTTGTCATGATCGTCACTTTTAGCATAATGAACCCTTTTTCTGTTATTCATTGCAAGTGGGGTGTCAGAATCCACAAAAAATTCTAAAAGTTCCCTGCAAAAAATAATAAGCCTGATCCAATTAGAAGATTAAGGAACAGCACAATCTGCTATATTAACTGAAATGTCTTAGAATCAGTAAAGATAACTTTAGCCTAACTTATACTGTCCATTATACATTAAAAATTCATACGTAAACGCATTACGCACATGCGTAAAGCATACAAAAAAAAAGTTTTTGTCTTTGAGGTCCAGATTATAGATCATTCCGGATAATGGATGTCCGGATTACATACTTTGTACTGTATTACTATTAGAAAATCACCAGAAAATGGGTATTATACTGATATGTATATAAATAAATTTAATTAAATATTTTTATTATCTTGCACTTAGCCAAAGTTTGGCTTACAAGCAATGTGAGTGTGTTTGACCTATTAAATGCAACTTACATTGTAATAAGTAGTAATTTTACTTTTAAGTAAAATACTTTTAAAATAGAATTTCAAGAATAACATAATTTTTCAGTGAGCTTTCAGTTATTTAATTTTTTAAATGAGAATATAAGTATAGTAGTTTTTAAACTATTTCAAAGTATGAACTCTGTATTGAGAGCATCAAGGTAGTCAACAAAAGATGAATAATTTTGTTTCTATGATCGATTGCCACATCAGCGCTATTTTCAGAACTGTACTGGTTACTCTTTCAGTAGAAAAGATACATATATTTAGAAAATGTTGTATTAATGTTGTATGCCAAATTTTTATTAAACAACATGCTATCTATAGTTTTAATTGCAAAAAGTGCTACCTTTCCTGTTAACAGGGTGCTACTAAGCGGAAACATAAATGTTGGTGCAATTTCTGATTATCTGCATCCCTGTTTTCAACATTTGATAGAATTTCTGTGTTTTTGGTGCATTTTCAAGTATATGTGTAACAACAACCTACTCAAGCTTACTCATAACAGACATGTGTGAGCACACACAAATTTGCATGCTGTATATTCAGTTACATTCTCACATTTCAGTAATATAGATTTATGTTCTCTATTTTCATCTTTTACAAGTATCCTTGTTCTATGTGTTATGACTTATCTCACTTTTCTGACAGTAACATCAGAACAAGCCCATGAAATTCATTATGTCAAGCAGAATAAGATTGCACCTGTCATTGGCAAGAGTCTTGAGCTTCATACAAGTAATAATACAACTTCGCTCAGTTCCATCCCCAATTTTGATGGAGAGCACACCAGGGGAGAGGGATCCAAGGGTTTCCTGACCCCTCTTCTCCTACCATAACCTCTTGAGAAGACTTTCAGCTCAACTTATATTTAAAGTGCCTCCATGCCGCAAAGACACTATACATTTACAAGTATCCATGCCTTCTTCGGGATTCAAACCCAGGCTCTTTGGTACAGTAATAGGCTCTTCTAACCATTATATCATCTGTTGGCTCTTGTTCTTTGTATTAATGGAATAGTACCTCTGAGGTGAAAAGGAAGCCTTCGCCTATTCAAAAGGTCACCAATATCCATTGATGACTTTTTGTAATGGTGTGGATAATCAGAAAGTACCAACCTGATAAACCAACAACTTATTTTAAACTGATTTCTATATTTAAATGAGTTTCTTTGTAGCTATGCCAACATATGTTTGTATTCTTACCAGGCAAGTACATATGGTGTACGATTTAAGAAAGTAACTGGTTCTAGTTTTTTTAGAGTACTGCCTTTTCTTCATTTTATTGAAATTTTCTGAAATATATAAATGTAAATGTCGTTTATTTAAAGTTAGTCTTATAATACAGTTAGTTGATAATTATATTTAGAGGAAAAGAAGAATTTAATATGTTAGAGGAAAGTTAATTTTTGTTTCATAGAGATATACTTAATTGAACATAGAGCAGAAGCTGAATTTACTGAACATAGAGCAAAGAATTATTTATTTTTCTTTACAAATAACACAATAACATAATACAATACATAATAATAATACAATACATAATAATTTACAATAACATAATAATTAAAAGGGCAAAATTTTTATTAATTTACTTGAAATATTCTTTTTCTATTCAAATACTTACTTTGTACTTAATAATATATTAAAAATATGCAAGTATTTATTTGTGGCTCTTTAAATTTCTGAATTTTTATGTGCAGTTTCGAGTGTCATGTAGTTTGTTTGCCTTTGCTGTAGATAATGAAACATAAAATTTATAATTATTGTTTAAGTATCCAGTTATTAACAAAAATTATTATATCAGTAATTTAATATGGCACTATTGTTAGTCAAGATTAATATGTCTTTATTTTGAGTTAAATAAGGACAATAATATCACATTTTTATGTTTCTTGAAGAAAATATAAAGAATGACTTTTCATTTTTAGAAATGTGTTCTGTTAACTGTTAAAAAATAGATAATCTCATTATTATAAAATCCAAAATACTGTTATGTTAAAAGACATATTTTAATTTTGAAAGGCATACTAAAAGCTTAAGCAAACATTTCTTTGTGAGCTGAGTATTTCTTTCATCATGTAGAAAATGTGCTGCTGTTTTATAACTTAATTGTGGTGAAATATTTTGTAATTGTTGTCAGATCCTGCATGGAGAGCAGTATTTAGAACTTTACCAACCATTCCCACCTTCAGCTGTGCTGACATCTAAATGCCGTGTGCTTGATATATTAGATAAAAATTCAGGAGCAGTTGTAATTGTTGAAGGTAAATAAAAAATTGTATATGGAGATGTGCAAGCAGAAAATTTTCCTTTCTATATTTTTTGCATGTTTTCCAAGAGCATTTTAAATAATTTCTTAGTTTAATTTATTGATAACATTTTCATTAATTTAAATATTTTATGAGCAGTGATATTGGCATACTTTTTTATACTGAGTCTGTAATTTATTCAGATGAAAATTGTAAGTTTTTTTATATTATTGTATTTATTATTATATTTTTATTGTTATAAATTGAGCACTGTATGGTATAAGTGGTATTATCTTGAGATGGTCAGGCATTCAATTATTATTAGTTCATTAGTGTTGTAACTGTCCTTAGCTAGTTGTGTTGTAGCTGTTATCAGGTGTTTATTACATTATTGCTTTTTGTTATTTTAAATAAAAATATGACTGGATATTATTTTTAATAAAAGTATAGTGGGACACATCAGTAACAGCTTAATATCTACAAATCATCACATTCATTTTTATTAAGTTGAGCCTGATTGAAATAGTTAGTCAGTTCCTAAAATAGTAAAGGAAATGATTTTGTGCAGTTTAATAGTAAACCAATGAAGAAATTTGATTTAAAATTAGTGCAACTAAGTATAAAAAAATTATTGATTGCAGTTTCATTTGAGCTCATCCCAAGTTTATCAAAGCAGTGCTGCTTTAGTATATTGCTCACAGCTTAAACAAAACTGCAGATTGCAATCAGCAATATTTTTTAATTATGCTGATTTTTACACTGAACTTCTTCATTTGTTAGCTGTTCACAATTTTTTGTTGCTATCAATAGTCATAATTTTTGTTTAGTCATTAAGATCAGATTGATCTTTAACTAAGTATTCTTTTTCAGCAGAAAAATAGGTATTTTGAAGCAAATAGAAAATGTAGTTTACCCTCTCACAATGTAAATTTCAATTATGTTCTAGTTATATACAGATGTTGTGGAATAAATATATTAAATGTATTGCAAATTTAAAGCAATTTGGGAAAGAGGGAATCTAGCAGAAAAGTTGCATAACTTGAGGGGGGGGATTTTGTGAATGCATGCAAATCTATTAAACTTTATTTTCTTATAATTTTTCTTTCTTTTCTTTCTTTTTTTTTTTTTTTTAAAAAAAAAAATATTTTGTGAAATTTTTTATGATTTTCCTTGCTTACTTCTTTATGTTTCTCTTACTATATAAAAAGTTGTATTTTAAATAAAATATATTTATAATGTTAAAATAAAAATTAAATTATATAAACATTATTTATTTTTTGTAGAAGATACATTCAATGAAGCTAGCGAGTTAATAATGCGCACACAGTGGTCAATATTTCTAGTTGGTGCTGGTAATTTTGGGGGTAAACGAACTACAGATAAAGGTGTGAAGGTTCTGCCATCACCTAATCGCCGACCTGATGCAGTTATTGAAGAGAAAACTTCTATTGATCAGGTAAAATAATTTAATGTTTATGTATGAAAATTATTTAAATTGCCATATTCTTAAATTGACCAAATTGTTTAAGCTGGTCAAAAATTCATTAAAATAACTCAAAAATTATTTAATTATGTAAGGTAAAAAATTTAGATATTTAAGAACATAAAAGTATAGTTTCAAATTTTTGAATAAAATTATTGATTGAAATAGAGTAAATTTATTATATACTTTTCATTTATTTTGATATATGTATAAATAGCTTCAAATTTCAAAATTTATTTTTATGTGTTTTTTGTCCAACACAGTTTTTATTCCTCCTTGCTATATATGAAAAATTTCCCCCTCTTATGCTATTTCTCTTGCATTTTAGGCAGCTTTATATAGACTGTGTGGAGATAAAAATCCTATTCACATTGATCCATCATTTGCTGCTATTGGAGGTATTGTATAGCAATATAGTTACAATTTCCAGTTTAGTGAAGTATGTTTGCATTGTTCGAGAAGTATTATTTTTTGAGTTTCCGATACAGTCAAAAGTCGTTAATCCGGACTCGTCGGGACTTTGGCGATTCCAGATTATCGATTTTTCCGGATTATAGATCATCAGTTTAAATCTGGTAAGATGCATGCAGAAATTACAAAATTAAAATATGAAAACTTTTATGAAATAAAGAACAATTAGATCTAAAGGGTATCAAAATTTACAAAAAGAAAAAGCTTAATATTTATTTGTTTACTTTATTAAACAATTATTTCAGTGTAAGTTTTTAAGTTTTGCTTCGTTTCATGTGATAATACTTTCTTTTTAATTCTATTAACAGCCATAATTTCTTTTTAGTTACAAAGTTCCGCTGTTCAAGTCCTATAATTGCCTGTAGAGAATACCGACTAATTTGCAATCGAAATTTTTTTTTCATACCTCTGTCACTTCTTCACTATCGGAAGCGATCATAATGACGAGGAACTTGTTTTAAATCATATCAAAGACGGAGCACATCGAGATGAAATACTACATTTGGTAAGGAATTATAAGCCAAATAAAATAAAAACATCTGCCCTGAATATGCTGACAGATCAACTTCCATTCATTGCGCCGCGCGTTCCCCCCCTGAGCAGCGTGAAATTGATAAACAGATTTCGGATTCGAAACTACTTTGCTTAGATCCTTTACATATTAAAAATGATATATTGGAATTCTATTTGATATAATCAAAAGTTTAAGCTACTTTATAAATTGCTCTGACAGTCTGTAAAAATAATAAGCCGGATCCAATTCGAAGATAAGAACAACGCATCTGCAACATTAACTGAATTAGATAATTTTAGCTTAGCTTATACCGTTCGTTATACATTAAACGCACATGCGTAAACGCTACGCATGCGTAGAAAGTTTGTAGCTTTGAGGTCCAGATTATAGATCATTCCGGATTATGGATGTCCGAATTAACGACTTTTGACTGTAATATAAATGATTGCTTTGCAAACTGCTTCTTTTGCTCCTTTTTATTTTTTTCCCTTTTCTTCTTTCTCTGCTTTATCATTGTTTTGATAAAATACAGGCTTGAAGAGAGAGTACTCAATAACTTTCATTTCCACTCATTAATTTCCTGTAGACTTTTTATACAAAAGTCAACAATTTACAGTTTCATTACATCTAAGTATGCTAAGGTATAGGTAGCATTCCCCCCTCTTAATGTATTCTTTGTATTTTTGCTTTTGTTTACTTATTATGGCAAAATGAGGAAATTGTTTCCTCCTTCCCAATACAACTGTTCTTTTTGCATGCCTATAACTGAAAATTTTAGTTCTAAATTTCTTATAATAGGTATCAACTATGTTACTTTCAAGAATACATTTTGTGATTTAATTTCCGTGATAAGTAGCCCCCCTTTTTGGCTATTTATCTTACATTGTTTTAAAACTAGTTTCTGACTACATCTAAAAATATTGCAACATGCTATTCTAATTCAATCTTTGTTTCTCCCTTTAAGCTCATATATCTGTAAAAGGATAGTAATTTTACTATCCAATAAAAGTCATTGTGTTATTAATGTGAAGACTGACCGATGGCTGAATAGGTAGGACCATTTAACAATGTTTGACCTAAGAATTCCATCTCTGGTTTCAACTCTTGGGAAATAAATTGGTGGCGTTGGACTGTTTTCTCCCATGTGCTGCATAAATTATGAGGCATTTCCCTTCACAGTGTCCTACACAAAAGCATTCCTCCTCTTAGATAAACTGTTTGTGCTGTGCTATATTCAAATGAACAAGCTAACAATATTAAGTTGAAAAAAAAAATAACATTAAAAATTCCAACACTGTATTAAAATATATGATGACAGTATTTATTGCTTAATTAGTATGCTATTAGTGCATTATTGATTTTTCAAAAAAATGATACTTTGCTTTGCTAGTGTAACATTTTAAACTGACTATTTTTTTAAATTTGTTTCAACATTTGTTAATGAATCTTGGCTTCTGTAATTTGAATAATTTTGATTTGCTAAATTATGTATTCAGATCAGGCAATATACAAATTTCCCTTAGATGAGTTTATTTTGCTTATGCAAATAAATAATAAACTAATAACAAATGTTGAATAGTTGTTCAAAGTACATAATAAAGATCTTAAAAACATATTTAAACAAAGCCAAATAGTAAAATTATTTCCTGTTGCTAAATAGTGTTTTTATACTATGTAATAAGATAAAATGCATGCAAAATTATTATTAGTTGGTAATTTATATAAATACATAAATCCTGAACAAAAATATGAAATATCTGGTTGATAATTATAACTTACAGTTTCAGCACAAACATTTTTGATGAGATAGCCTAGCACTAAAAATATATTTTAAGAAAGACAGATGTCAGATCAAAAGTAGCACTAAACTGACGTTTGTCATAAGCATGTTGCATTAAAAATGATATATGATATATAAATAACTGCAGAGTTTATTGTCATTTCCTAAATGAAAAAAAAAAAAAAAAAAAAAATGAAAGGAGTAAGCCAGAAGTGTATAAAAATAGCTCACTGCAAGGGCTGCAGTTATTTTTAAACTGAAATAAGCTGCCAGGTGGGCACATAATGCAGAAGATTAAATTTTATTTAAGTAATACTGATGATTAGTATTGTATATTTAGGATTCCCATTAGCTTTTTGGAGAGTGGGAAAAGTATATCTGTTATGTTTTACTCAAGAAAGAAATTCCAGATCATTAAAAGTCACTCTTGAACAACAGAGATCTAATCACTACCTCTCATTAAGTCTGTTATTTTTTATGTATTATCTTGTTTGTTAAAATAATTTTATTTACCAAGTTAAAAAGCATTGTTCTTAATGTTCTTAATGTTAAACATGTTATGCACAGTTTTACAGTGTTAAAAATAATTTTTGATTCAAATGGTAAAAAGATCCACGTTTTTTTTCTTGCCAAGCTTATCTATCTCCTCTTATTATTTTACATCTGTGATCCTTGCTGCTCGAACATTTTTGTTACAATATGTTTTTAAAAATAGCATAAGTATCTATATTTAATGCATAATATGTGAATGTATAAACTCGGAACTAAAATCATCTATTACAAATTGAAAAAAGAAAAAATCTCATTTCAGGATTTCCTCGACCAATCCTACATGGCTTGTGTACTTTGGGTTATGCTACCAGACATGTCTTAAAACAGTTTACGAATTATGATGTTGTCCCATTTAAATCTGTCATGGTGAGTTTGTTTTATTGAAGTATTTTTTATTTATTGAAGTTTGTTTTATTGAAGTATCTCTTTATATTTTAAGTGTATTATCAATTTTGAAGTTATTCTAAATCTTGCAGTTGTTTATAGCATACAAATTATAATAATTTTGGAATTTTCTTATCTTGTTAGTGAAATGGCTAAATGTTGTTTTTCTCTATATTGACTTCAAACTTTGAGTACTAAAATGTAACTAGCTATGTGCAACATTTTGCTGTCATCAATGTATATTGTAAAGGTGATGACAGTATGTGAAGAGTGATGATTCATGTATAATTCTTTCATTACTGATTCATCTTTCATTATCATGTATACTCACTGATTCATGCATGTTTCATCTATATGTTACTAAGTTGATATGCAGTATGCGAAGAATATGATTAATGTATTATTCATGTAGAATTCATACTTCTAGACCAATTTGACTGAATACATTGGTCAAGAAATAGTTTTTAGTAATAGAATGTAATGTTTGCATATTAATAATGTAGATTAGAAAAATATGTAAATTAGGAGGTAGAAAATGAGTTTCATTATATGTGAAAAGTTTTCACAAATGAATTTAGCAGTTCCAAAAAATACATTTTTTTTTTTCAGTATGCTATGCTGAGTGCTGTATGTTAAAAAGTGTTAAACATGTATTAAATAAAAACAAATTAAAGATACTTTCTCATTAATTGCCCAACCCTGAAAAGAATCACTGGACGATGTGCTATATTGCCAAATTAGGCAACTCAGAATTTTATGAAAATATATTTATGTAGCAACTCATGAATGGTTGTGCATGCATTATGCCAGCACAAAAAACTGGCTTTTGGAATTCGCTGGTCATCTTTGTGGCTATTGCTTATCAGTTGTTCGTACATGATTGTGAGAACATCATTTTCAGATTTATGCATTTCTGTGATTTTTTTAAGTTAAATAGGGGGTGAATGTCAGAGAAAAGCAAGAAAATAGTTTATCAACTGTTCTTGACTGTCATAAACTACTGTCTTGCTCTTTTCGGAACTTGTGCAATTCTCTGATTTTTTTTAATTGATAATGTCTCCAAATTTATATCATTCTCTGACTTTTATTAAGTCAAAACAGGTTGATGTGTACATGGGAAAGTAGGGAAAAAGTGTTTTATTTTAAATTTTTGTTATGTTTTTAATTTTGCTAATTTATTGCTGTTTTATGGAATCATCAGTGTACTGCCATTTTTTCAATGTGCCTGCTGTTCTGATGTTAGTGAAAAATTAATCTGTAACAATTGGAGACTTTTTGGAAGGGTGGGGTGGATAATCCAAGAATACCAAATTGTATGCTAAATACTTTGTCTTGCATTCAAAGCGAGGGAAAAAAATTAAAGGAGGGCTTCAGTCTTTATTTTAATTTAAAGATTTTTAAAAGCTTTTGGAAAAATACTATTGGAATTAAATATTATTTAAAGCTGATAGATTTTTATGAATATAGGAAGACTGCATGGAAATCTAATGTCACCGTCTGAAGGTAATTTTGCAAAATTAAAGTTGAACGATTATATTGGAGACTAACAACTATTAGCTTTGGAAGATAAAACTATTTCTATTTTTCTAATATTTATTTCTCAAGTTTGATTTCATTTTGACATGCTTTTTGCATATATTTGAGAGAATAAATTGTAAAAAACAGCATTTGAATTAATTTAAAAATGTGAGATTAGAACAATAAATGAAGATATAATTTATATAGTCTTAAAAGTTTTAATTAGTTTGCATGTTATTCTTGTTTTCTGTCATCAATTTAGCGTAGTGTATGTTCTCACATATATTGGTTTAATTTTATTTATTGAAACTTTAAAGACTTGTGTAGCAAGAATATGAATGATATTCTGTATGATACTTATAAGGGTTGATTAAATCTAATTATATATGGAATGAAGTAAGTTAAATACTTTTTATAAGGCAGATTGTTGAAATTTTAATTGCAGTTTAAAAAAGCTATTTGTAACTAGCAGTTGTTCAGCAAAATCTGTCTTTATCAACTACTATAAAGTTTTGGCATCAAGAAGTATCCTTTCAAATATTAAAGATTTTTACTTGTATTTACTTGGCATTTTCTATTCTTTTAAGGCAAGATTCGCAAGTCCTATATTCCCTGGGCAGA